TCCTGTGTTCTGGGGCAGCGCCTGGATCTCTGAGACTTGGAGCTCCCCCCCGTCTCCTGCGCATCTTTGGGGGGCGGATCTGTGGTCCCTCACACTCTCTGTTGGACGCTCCTATAGAGAAACCTTAAATAAACAAGCGCGTGTACACACACAGGTGCTCACATGGTGCTCTCAAAAGTATGGGCTTGGGAACGTTAAACACAGGTCTTAAGACTATGGTGGGCACTTAATGCACTGTGATTTATTATCGTGATTCTTCAGTTAAGCAATGTTGATTATATATTTCTTCATCAAGTTGACGCAGTGATAGCTTGATCTTGTTGTATTGTTGTTGTGTCCCATTTTTTTTGCCCTTTTGCTTTTTTTGTCTTTTTCTGCAGGTCTAGAAGCAGACTCTTGTTCATTATTGTTTATTTTTGTTTATTTTGTTTTCTTACTTTTCATGAACTTGACTCTCTTCTTGAAGTAACACGAAGTGTTTGATCACTGAAAAAGCAAAGAATCCTAGAATATTCTGATTAAACATTTAAAGACCAAGTAGGTTGATATTCTATATGTATATAGAATATTACATCTTCCTGGTCATAAGTAAAGGTAATATTTTAAGCTTAAAAGCAACAATATTTACCCCTCTACATATTATATGTACATCTCTACAGCAGCATAATGGCTGAATTTTCAAGGAATGTGGTTCCAAATCTGATGGTATCCAACCTCGTGTTAACAGGTTCAGGGAAGAATAGCAGGATGCTAATCAATTATGAACCCAGTAAAAATAAATAAATAAATACACAAATTACCTCGTCAAACCTTCTTTCAAAAGAGCTGGTAGAGGTTCTTTGGAACATATTTATGTAACCATGTTAGGGATTAGGGGTTGCATGACTTCATTGTTTTTTAAAGTCAACAGTCAAGTAATGAAAATCAAGTTGACTTTGACTAGTCATTGATGACGTCATACACCTGAAGCAGGTTGGTTTGCTGGAGTTTTTGACAATTAAAATTGTGTCCACAATTTCAAAGTTAAACACATCTCCTCTAACAACGGTAGTTCCTGCATCTTTACTGTTCCGCTGCTTCAGCCCTCTCCCCCCTCAAACTCACTGATGCGTCTGCAGCCTCTCAGAGTTCCTGCTGCTCTAAACATTAAAATAATTATTTCATTTTCAGTTTCTCACTTCTGATTACCTTCAATGGTGTCATTTTGTTGCAACCACCAGGTACAAAAACAAACTTGTTTTCATTTGACTATTTTTCTGTCCTGTCTCTGTTTATCTTCCTGTATCTCCTCTCAATCCTAAAGAAACACTGCTATATGATCAAAATGTCAGTTTTTTCATCCAGGAGCAGGGATCGAGTTATGGGGGGCTAGATATCTTTCAGGGAAAGATCCAGTTATCCAGTTTCTACCCAAATTACAATACTTATGGATGCTCAGCGTAGCGGGATTCTGTTGAGCAGAGAGGACGCAGAGCGCTGATTGTTGGTACACCCGCTGCGTCCGGCGCAAAATACATTCTCAAGGTGGCACAACAAAGCAATATTATTAACACATGATCATTCATATGCGTTTATATCCTCTGGTACTCAGTCTTTTAATTGTTCCTGATGCGCTCAGCTCATCATGTGCTGCGGTGATTTCACCTCACTGACGCAGCATCGAAACGCGCACTCCGCTTTGCGGTCAGGAGATCCCTTTGATCTGCTCAAAAGTAACTGATGAGGTGAAAAAAGTAAGAATCCAGGCAGCAGTTTTACTGGAGAATTTAGAGGAGATGCAGGAAGATGAGACACACAGGACAGGACAGGAAAATAGTTAAATAAAAACAAGAAAACAAAGCTTGAAAGTAAAATGTAGGTAGATTTATCTCCACTACACGTTTTTACCTGTATACAACAATAAGTTATACACATGTAATATTTATACATCTGATACAATTCAGACCATGGTTGGTGCTATTGTAGGCCGTTTCAAGGCATTTTGGGGGCTAAGGCAAAACGGAACACCCCCCTAACCCGTACAAAATAGACATGCCACCATTGCATTAGCTGCAGAAATTAAATGTTTTTACCATTTCCAATACAAATGCATGTTAATGAAATGCATTATATTTTACTGGATATATGTATGTGTTATTTTGACTAAGATGAGTGTTATTAATACAAACCTAAAATGTTACCGAAATGTTGGTCAAATATTTTAAAAAAGTTTTAACAATAAATATCAGATGGGAAAGGGGGAACTAAACACCAATCTAATGCATATTATTGAGCCTTTTATAATATTTTGCCTTTAAAAAAGTGAGGCAGTTGAATGCACAGAGTATGCATGTACTGGCGCATGGTCAGGATGGTACCACCTCTGCCTCAATTTGAGCCAGGAAAAACCCTGGTTATCTGCATGATAATATTTTAGCTGGCAACAAGTTTTTATCCCCAACTGGTGCAATGAGTTGCTTCTCATTTGTTAAACAACCATGTGGAAAGACACATTTTGTGGCCGTGGAAAAGATGTCAGTCTGTTTGAGAAGGGTCAGATCATTCGCATGCATCAAGCAGAGTAAACATCTAAAGAGATTACAGAAATTACTAAAACTGGGTTAAGAACTGTCCAAGTCATTATTAAAAACTGGTCTGATGAGTCCAGATGGACCCTGTTCCAGAGTGATGGGTGCATCAGGGTAAGAAGAGAGGCAGATGAAGTGAAGCACCCATCATGCCGAGTGCCTACTGTACAAGCCTGTGGGGGCAGTGCTATGATCTGGGATTCTGCAGTTGATCAGGTCTAGGTTCAGCAACAGGATGTGCTCCAAGAATGAGGTCAGCTGACTACCTGAATATACTGAATGACCAGGTTATTCCATCTTCCCTGATGACACGGGCATATTCTAAGATGACAACACCAGGATTCATCAGGCTCAAATAGTGAAAGAGTGGTTCAGGGAGCATGAGACATCATTTTCACACATGGATTGGCCACCACAGAGACCAGACTTTAACCCCATTGAGAATCTTTGGGATGTACTGGAGAAGGCTTTGTGAGTGGTCAGACTCTACCATCATCAATAGGGCTGTCGCGGTTGAGGAATTCCCCCTGCGGTGATTCAGGGTGGCTTAATATTGCGGTGTGCGATATTATTGCAGCATTTTCTTTTTATTGCAGTACTATCTAAACATAATGTTTACACATTTAAAAAAGGTAAAAAATTGCTGTGCCTTCTTTTATAACACTTTACTGAATGCAGATCAAAGGGCAGTAACAACACAGATGGCAGTAACGTTTGTTTCTCCGACAGTCGGAGTCCGACTGAACTTAAAAACAACAAAATTCAGGAGGTTAAACTTTTAAATGCAAATTTGGCTGCAGCATCTAACAAATAAGAAACAAGTCCCCATTTTGTTTAGTTGTTTAAAATCAAGCATAAAAAATTACATGTACCGGGCGCGCGCGCGCCGGGGGGCGGCCGCACTATCATTTCACTTTCACACACACGAATGACGGTGATTTATAGCTCGGTCACGTCCTTGTTGCCCACAAGGAAAACCAGCATGTTAACCATATACGGTTTGAGAGAGGATCTGAGAGGGGTGGCAACATTTCCAGCAACACTGAAAACCCTCTCGGATGGTGCGCTCGTTGCACTAACGCACACGTACTTGCGTGCGACTCTGGCGAGCAAAGGGAATCTCTCCCGGTTGTTGCTCCACCATGTCAGGGGGGTTTCTTTAGGGTAGATGCATTCCTCCTGCAGGTAGCGAGTGAACTCCAGCTCGGCTCAAACTCTCTTCGGGACGGTTGCAGAAGCAGTGCTTGTCCGGGACTTCAGCAGGTCTCCGAGCGTTTATTTATTTATTTATTTTTTTGCCGCTGGTGGCAGCTCTGTCTCGGCTAAGGACTCTTGGCTGCGCAGCAGCTGACGTACTGAAAACCAAAGTGCTCCCAAAGGAGCGAAGCAACGTTTCGTTTTGATACCAGTGCAGCCATCCTTCTCAACATGCATCGAGTTGAACCAAGTTCAGTAATCGCGGTGGCCCATGATGCAGCGCGGTGGGCTTCTTCATATTGCGATATTTCATTTTTGCGGTTACCGCGACAGCCCTAATCATCAATGCAAGATCTTGGTGAAAGATTAGTCCAACACTGGATGGAAATGAATCTTGTGACATTGCAAGCTTATCGAAACAACGCCACAGTGAATGCATAATGTAATTAAAGCTAAAGGGGGACCAATGAAATATTAGAGTTTGTGACCTTTTATATATTTTTTTTGGGTAGGGGCTCTCTTGGGCCAGGCAGTGTTTGTTAATTTGAATAAACTTTACGTGTGAAATCAGCATGATGAGGAAAACAAACATTCTCTTACTGGAATACACAACCCATATTTTGGAACTGCGCTGCTCTGGGTGGCTGCATGTTGGAGTAGCTCTGTTGACTATATGTAAGTTTTGCCTTTTCTTGGACATTTTTTCTTCTAGTTTCTCAAGAAAAACGGTATTTTTTGGGACATTTTACTTATCTGTTTCTCATGCTGTGAAGCTTGGAGGATTTTTACTGCTATTTTTTCACTTTTTGAGCATTTGTTATGATGCGTAACCATGGCAACAAGCTGGTTTACATTCGGGCGCAGCTGATTACCATTGGAAAGGCTGAAATAATACCTCAACTGAAGCCACAAATCCCAAATGAGCTAAAACAATAACTCTTTGATGACTTGATTATTATTATTATTATTATGAGCTACTACAGCAATGAATTTCCTTCTGGGATTAATAAAGTACTTTTGAATTGAATTGAATTGAATATGCCAACACAAAATTTTATATAACTCGATGTTGCAACTCTGGCAAGAAACTAAAATACTTAAAACCCACAATGATTACACTTGTGTGAACAAAGAGAAAGGGGAAAACACTTGGATTATGATTCTATTAATTCTATTATGGATTAGTGTTCAGGATCAGGGCTGGATTTGAGGATTATCAGACTCATGTGATCTTACCTTGTATCCAGCGTGGGTCCTGCTCTTTGCATTTGGTGTTGTGGAGCAGAGCTCAATGGCCTCAGGCTCATGAAATATCACCGTAGGCAATGGCTCCTTCCTCAGAGTCAGCACATTTAGCTTGGTCTTCAGCATTGTCTGAAAGTGCTGATGAAGAAAAAAATGACATGTAAACACTGTACTTTAAGGGAAGTTACAATCTGCGTCAAACAAGAAACAAGCTAAATGTGGGAATGATATTCAGTTTCCTCATAAACAACTGGTGTTGGCAAAGAAATGGCAACTCAAACATATTTAAGCTTTTTGTTTTTGTATGTGTGTGTGTGTGTGCATGCACGTGTGTGTGTAAGACCATAATCAAGTCCAAAATATCTCATCAAACTGCCAAAAAATCAATTATGTGAGTTAAGAAATGGTTTGTGTGAAAAACTTGCCAGTATTAACATTTCTATTTACATGCATACATAGAAAAGACATCTTGGTAGTGAAAAATTTAAATGGAGATGGTGTGGGGAGTTGATTAAGCTTCACATTAAATGTGAGAAACAGATCCTCTCCTCAAAACAAAGGGGGCTGCCAACTCCTCATTTCAAATGTTTCCTGAAACCAACCAGAACCACATGGTCGTAGTGGCTCTGTTCACTGCACCACCAAGGAATTTTAATTTCCTTAAAACAATCAAAATGCAAACTGAGCATTTCCTGGAGACATAGAAGAGTGATTTTTGTTATAAAGGTTGCAAAAGGAAAATTTCTGCACTGTTTTTCCTTATAGCTCTTGCAATCTAGGACTAAAAGTTACTGTATTAAAATGTAATTAATTACAATGCCAATATGCAAAAGTTTGATTTACCCAAACATTTGCACAAAGATTACAATTAATATATTGGTAGATTCTTTTTATGTTTGTTGTTATAACAAATTCCCTGACAAGTCACCTTTACAATGAGGTACAACTTGAATGGACATCTGTGCGAGTAGTGCCCTCCAGTGTAAAGATCCCCTGAAATATTCTCTTGTTGGTGTTCACAATGGCGTTGAGTTGCTTGGTGGATTGAATGACAGATTTACCCACAGTGATGAAGAATAACAGACCTTGTCAGAGGCCTCAGTAGCTTATGGAAGCTTTATGCGGAACCACAACACCCTGAAGCCCAAAATGAGAATGACTGCAAACAGGAGAGTTTGCAGGTTTTTTTTTTGGCAGTTTGTTTAGCTGTATTGCTCTGTCCACAGGAGTACAAGTTTTACCTCATTGCAACAGGGACTAATCAGAATTTTACATTTCCTACCTCTTGTGCTTAGCTTATACATGGGATGTTTTAAGACTTGCCCAAAACACAAAGTGTTTGATTAAGGCCAGCAATTATGAATGCAGCAGTTTTGTTTCTTATGCAGTTTGATCAAACAAAAAGAAACTGTTTCTGAATTTGTACTGACAGGCTAAGCTTGCCAAACCCAACTTTCCATCATAAATGTGGGGCCGTATTACAAGTCTTCATAATATGTAATCTTGTGCCCATTTTCTTTTTGCTACTGGATGCCAATACACTGATCTGACTGCCTTCACAGAAGTTTATCAGCTATACTTGGACAAACAGCACACAATAAATACAAGAACAATGTCTCAATTCTGGGACACTGAATATTGTTTGTGAAATATGAGACCCAAGTGGTGGTGGACGAGTGAAATGCATGACTGAAGCTCCCAACCGACTTTCCTCTTAAAAGTTTTTTTAGCCCGAAATTTGTACGAGACTCGACGTCTAATGCCTCACTTAAGATCTAACGTGCAAAGTGGCTCCTAGATGGATTGGTAGACTAATGACAAATATTAAAAAGAGCAAAAATGCTAGCACTGAGATCTGACTTTACTGAGATGTTTGAGGCAAAACTGGTGGAAGATTTGTACTTTATCAAATCTCAGCTACGGGAGCGGAGATTCGAGCTGCAAAACACCTTCACTGAGCTCTGGTCAGACATTGTCCACCTGGTCCAACAAGGTTATCTCTTTGCAGAGTATGGTTGTGGAGCTTAAGAGGAACATTTCAGCACTGCAAGATAAATGTGATGAGCTTGAAAGGGGTTGAGAAGATGTAATATTGGACTTCCCTGAGTTCCAGAGGGTCCAGGGTCTAGTTCGAGAACAGCGGTGGCTAAAATCTTTTGAGAAGTGATACAGTTGGAAGAAGCAACTTCCGTTTTTCACAATAAATCGATAAACAAAAGGCATTTTTTGTTTCATATGCACAGGTTTAACAACTTTTAACAACTATCAATGGCGGCTGAAGTTTAAATGCATAAAAGTAAGCCATAAATACAGTTTCTACTATCAAAGTAGTCACACTTTGTTGATCCAAACACTGCTGATCTCTCAACACAAATGATGGGCAGATTAAACAGTTCATGCCGATGCTTCTCCCACACAACGGGTGTTTGGATCTAACTTCCGCGTTTATTGCTCGGACTGTATCGCAAGATCTCGAAAATCCTGTGCATGCTTGTTTGCCCCCCCTCAGGTCTCCGCACCGGAGCGGAGCCGTTGTAGAGCAGGTACCAGTAAAAATTGAGTTCGGAAGCGAGCGGCTGCGGAAGGCGGGGGCGGACCGGAGCGGAGCGGAGGTAGTGGAATTTGGGGGTTAGTCGTGACAAACATTTGGCTTGCCGAGGTCTATCATGGGAGCCTCAGGAGGATTTTAAAAGAGTCCTGATAAGCCACTTGTAACATTTTATAGCTATCTTAATGTAATTACTCCACAATTGGGACGTTTAGAAAGAAGTGCAAAAAGAAGGAAAAAGGGCCACTTTAACGTTATCTGTGCACATACCGTAAGTTATGTGCCAGACTGTTAGCCTGCATGTACATCTTACAGTACAGTCTTTTTATATCCTCATCCTCACAGAAATCACTCCTTAGAATGTGTCCCAAATATTTTACTTTTCTCACCACTTCAAGGACTTGGTTTGTCAAATAAAAAGACGGAAAGATCATATTCCTGTCCTCTTTTGTTGCAGCAATCATCACAACACTTATTTGGGGGTTAAACAATGTCAAACTTCACCATATTTTGGACAGATCCTGAGCAGCTGTTGCAAAACCAGCACTGTAAGGGCGCAAGAGGACTGTATCATCAGCATACAAGCCGCTCACCCACTAAGCAGCCAGTTTGCATCTATTCAGTGCAATAGACAAATCATCAAGGTACAGGTTAAAGAGAACTGGAGCCAGAATCCCGCCTTGTCTGAGTCCACTGGATACAGCAAAAGGTTCAGAGACTTCCACTCCCCACTTAACCTGCATCGATTGGTGTGAATGCCAAAAAATGTATTATCCTGATCATATATGCAGGAACCTCTCTACTCGGTAGTTTAAGATACAGTTTAGTGTGGTTGACTCGGTCAAAGGCTTTGGAGGTGTCTCAAAAACACATAAAAACAGATGTATTTTGTCTCAGATACTTATTTTGTTTTGTTAAGGGTGTACATACAAAGATCAGTACTAAGCTCACTTTGAAAACCAAACTATTATCTGTTGTTGCTATAAAATCATTGAATCTTTCCAGCAGAATATGCTCAAACACTTTGGACAACACGTTGGCCAGGGCAACCGGCCTGTAGTTGACAGTACAGAATGTTTTTTCAGTTTTTTTCTTTTACTACAGGGATATCAATATTACCGCATGCTGTTTGTAAAACATTGTTACTGTTATATATCCCTATGTTGGTTGGCAATGTGATATCTCAGTTCTGTTGTACTAGTGTGTGTGTGTGTGTGTGTGTGTGTGTGTGTGTGTGTGTGTGTGTGTGTGTGTGTGTGTCTCTCTTTGCTTCTCCATCTTTTTGAAGGTCTAGAAGCAGATTCTTTTTGCATTTCTTTTTGTGAACTGACCCCCCCCCCCCCCCCCCCCCCCCCCCGGCAACTTCTCTTCCATTCTCTTTTCTCTTTAATTTCCATCTCTGTGTCCGTTAGGTTCAAAAATAACCTAAGGTTATTTTAATTTAAAAAGTCTACAGCGCATGTAGCAGTAGTTACAAACCTAAGCATTGACCAATCTGGTATAGTATTCTGTCTTGTACTTCCTGCCATAACCCTCAGCTTTTTCTCAGCTTGGGATAGACTAATGTGTTACACTTTCTTGTGCCTCCCTTAAGGCTGCATTTGTCAATTTTTTTGTACCTCTGTCACCATGAAAGACACTTTCTCACATGAATGGACAAAAAGTGTTAGATTATTAAAGGAAATGCTGTTGTACCAAAGACGGACCAAAGCAGAATTTTTTATTCATTTTGGTGTACCTGTCAAGATTTTATCACTCTGCAACCAAACATAAAAGTACAAATGTGACGACAGAAAAGGAAGAGCTGTTTTTAGTAGGTACTTTATACTGGATCTCTATGAATTATTGGATACAATACTTCATAAAAGATTGACCTCTTAATATGAAGTTCAAACTGCCTCAAATGACCCCTTTTGATGAGAAAGCAGTACCTTATGGAGTCAATGTTATATCAATAAGGTCTCGCGAGACCACGCACAATCACATTCACCCACTGAGAAAACCCCCAAACAATCTGATGAACTCATGCTTTTACAAGCTGGTTTGGGAATGACAGTCAATGTTCCAGAGGATGTTGGATATGGATATGGAAGTATGTGAACTGCTATGACATTCATAAAGTAGAAAGTTTGGTACCATTTTGAGTTTGCACTAATGAATGTCAACACATAATATAATAAATGAATATCTCATTACTTTTGATGTGTGCAGAGCATGACAGAATTATATTTGCATAACTCATTTCTATGGTTCACATAGATTTAATAAATGATTTTAGATTAAAGGTGCACTCTTTAAATCTGCAGTTGACTGAAATTCTGTGTGAGACATACCCAAAATTGTCTGAACTTGAGGGTGCATGGACGCTTCACAAAGCTATGGGTAAAAGTATTTCTATGCTGTCCTTCACATTGTTTTTGTAGCTGAAATGAAACCTATCACATTGGTTTCAATTATAAGACCTACATTTTTGTCATTGAAACTGCCACAGGAGGGTCAGGCCAATGCCGGCTCACACTGCTATTCCCTCAAGAGGAAGGATACACTAGGGCCAGTCTTGTGAAGTCCTGGGGAGGCAAGGGGTGTCTAT